TTTCCCTGTGTGAAGTGGGAAGACAGGTTTAGAAAAGAAAGCTCCAGAGGAGGCCTCAGCACCAGTCAAACCTCAACCCTCACCTCCCCCACCCAGGGAGACCCGCTTCCCTTGGGCTTCTTGATCCTCTCTGGGGCTCCTGGCCTGAGGTCTCGCCCTCTGCCCTGACCTCACCCACTTCACAAATGACCATCTGGCTTTGGGGCAAGAGGCCTGGCCCAGCAGTACTGACCTTTGCCGTCAGCTGGAGTGGCCCCCTGACCTTTGCCTTTCAAGGGGCCGTCTTCCTCCTGGCCTGGCTTGGCTGACTTCAGGGGTTCTGTGGCTTCAGCCTTCTGCTGCTCTTTGGGAGCTAGTGGGAAAGCAGTCAAGGCAGGAGATGTAAAGGGAGGAGGAGGCAGAGGGGTGGGTGCTGGACGCTGGGCACGGAGGTTACCTGGGGGTGGGTTCTCTGGAATAGCTGGCTGGCAGCCTTCAATGCTCAGCCAGTGAGCTGCGAGGAAGGAAGGTGTCAAGGTGAACTACTGAGCGCAGACATCAGGAAGTCACTCCACACTAAGGGATGCGTGCTTTCCTTCCTGTTCCTCACCAGGGATCTCACACTGAGGGCCCCTTCACCGTGTGCTTCCTCACACCCATACGCATTGCTCCTTCCCCTCCCTGCTCCCCATTCCCTGCTCTTCCCTCCCCTTCCCCAACCTTTGAGGCAGACATCCAGGGGCACTCGGGGCAGAGGGGTATTGATGATGTCGCTCAGATCAACCTCCTTCTCCTCATAGAAGTAAAGCTCCCGGCCGCCACCAGAGGCGAAACGGAAAGGAATGAACTCCTGAGCGTGGAAGCCATACAGTGGCTACAACAGGATGGAGAGACACTGGGATGAGAAGGGAGCCCAAGCAGGCAGGTCTGGCTGAGGCAAATGTACCGTATGGGAGGTCTCAGTACCCTGCCCCCTCAGTCCTGTGCATTCCCATCACCTCGACGTTCTTTAGCTTCAGTGCGTAGTCAATGTCACTGGTGGTGAGCTTCTGCCGCTTCCCCATGTGCATGAACTTCAAGGCATCCTAGGGATGGGAGGACAGACGTCAGCCCGAGACCCGGGGGAAGAAGGTGGCCTGGGCAGCATCCTCCATACAGTGCAGTGAGGCCAGGGTACCTGTGCAATCTCCTTGATGCGGTAGCTGACCTCATCTGTCAGCAGCTGGCAGGTCTCCTCCTGAATCTGAGCGATGCCCATGGACTCGGCCACCACCTTCATGGACTCCGAGGGCAGCACGGTGTTGCTCAGCTTCAGCTTCTTCTCCTCAGCCATTCTGGATCCCCTCCTCCCCTCCCCTGAAGGAAGATGCCCCAGGGCGGAGAGATGGAGACCCTGGCAGGGGGATGAGAGGAAACGTGAGAGGGACATCCCAAGAAGAGGGGCTGTCCGTTCAGGAGGGGCCGCAACAAAGGGAGAACAGTGGAGATATGAGGGGGGAAGGGGCTCGGGGGGTGCCCTTTGTCCATCCCCACGTGAACAGCACCGGCTGAACAGGAGGAGTAGCACTTGGACCCAGTTCGACACAATTTATCGAGCTGATTCTATGCCAGGCACAGTACAAGTGAGGTATAGTGGAATGATCTCAGCTCTCAGTTTAAATCCCAGCCCCAGCACTACCTAGCTATGTTACCTGGGAAAGCTACTTAAATTCTTCCAGCTTTGGGTTTCTTCTCTGTAAAATGTGGAAAGCATCTTTTTTCCCTAAGGTTGTTAATGTGCCTGCTTTTATGTGTCTTGCTCCGTCATGCATTATTCACACTTGACAAAAATACAACATTGGTTAAAAACAACTCCCCCTGTCTGAGCCTATGTGCCCTTACAATTGAACATGATGAGAAAATGCACAACCATCCTGACCAATGTGCACTTTTTTCATGGCCACGAACTTCAAACGAGCCGTTAATGCTGCCTGATGGTCCTACATTTCAGTGCACCCAGGTTCCTTCTGTCTCATCTGACACCTCTTCTCCTCCCTGATTTTTGGCCATCAGAAGAGACCTCCCCAGGCTCCCACCACCACGTGCACCCGCTGAGCAGCACGGGCGCCCACATGCTCTGCCTTCCCTTTCACTGTAGAGATTCTGGTCATGCCCCTCCCAACTCAAGCACCTCTCCAGCATTCCCCCCCCCACCCCGCCTCCCTGCATCATCGTCAATTCCTCGACCTACCAGATCACTCCCATTAACCCTACAAAATGCAGTTATTTCTCCCATCTTCAAAAAACAAAACAGTGGTCCACCCATACCATGGAATATTTTTCAGCCTTAAAAAGGAAGGAAATTCTAACTCACGCCACAACACAAATAAACCTTGAGAACATTGTGCTAAGTGAAATAAGCCAGTCACAAAAGGATAAATACTGTATGGTTCCAATTGTATGAGGTTCTTCGAGTAGTCAAATTCATAGAGACAGAAAGCAGAGTGGTGGGTGCCAGAAGCTAGGAAGGGGAGAAGGGGGATTTATTGTTTAATAGGTACAGTTTCTGTTTTACAACATGAAAAGCATTCTGGAGATGGATGGTGGTGATGGGTGTGAATGTACTTAATGCCCCTAACGTGTATACTAAAAAATGGTTAAGATGGTACGTTTTATGTTGTGTGTATTTCACAATTAAAAATTTTTTTTAAATCTTGGACTTCCCTGGTGGCCCAGTGGTTAAGAATCTGCCAATGCAGGGGACACGGTTCGAGCCCTGGTCTGGGAAGATCCCACAGGCCGCAGAGCAACTAAGCCCGTGCACCACAACTACTGAGCATGTGCTCTAGGGCCCGCGAGCCACAACTACTGAAGCCCGCGTGCCTAGAGCCAGTGCTCTGCAACAAGAGAAGCCACCGCAATGAGAAGCCCGCGCACCGCAATGGAGACCCAACACAGCCAAAAATAAATAAATAAATAAATAAATAAATAATTTTAAAAAGAGAAAACATCTTTTCTTCATCCCACTTTCTCTACTAGTGATACTCTGGGGTTTTTTGGCTCCTCTTTGCAACAAAACTCCCTGAAAGAGCTGTCTTATCTCTAATTCCTCTTGAACCTACTCTAGTCAGGCTTTTGACTCCATTAGGTGCCTGAAACCACTCATCAAGTTGTGACTCTACATTGTCAAATCCAAAGTCCCATCTCCTTCCCCATCTTCCTCGACCTCTCAGCAGCACAGGGCATAGTTGCCTACTACCTTCTGGAGACACTGTCTTGACACCACTGCTACTCCACCTTCTCTTGGTTTTCCTCCTCCTTCACTGGCCACTTTCTCTACGTTTCCTCTGCTGCTTCTTCCTCTTCTCCTCGTCTGCTTGATGTTGCAGTGCCCTGGGCTTGGTCCTTGTACAGCTATGAGCTATACTTATTCCCTTGGTGACCTCAACCATTCTCACAGCTTTCAGTATCGCTTATAGGCTGATGATAGCAAATTTATATCCCCAGCCCAGAGCTTTCTTCCTAACTTCAGACCTGTATATCAAACTGGCTACTTAGAATCCCTTCTAAACTGAACTCCTGATGACCCCCATCCCACAAGCTCCAGCCTCGGCTTTTCTCATCTTCATAGCAAAACCATTCATCCAGGCGGTCATTCATTATGCAAATCCATCAGGTGATCCAATCTGATCCTCCACTCCCACTGTGTGACCAGCTCCCAGCATCTATCCCCTGGGGAACTTCAATAGCCTCCTGATAAGGTCTTCCTGCTTCCATCCTTGCTCCCTACATCTATTCCCAACATAGCAACCAGAGTGATTCTGTCAAAAAATAAACCACATTGGGTCATTTCTCTGCTCAAAACCCTGTACTGCCTCCCAATGTGCCACAGTGTAAATTCGAAATCTTTATTATGGTCTACAAGCTCCTTCGTGATTTATTCTCTCCCCATCACATCTCTGACCTCCTTTCCTTCCTTCTTCCATGTTGATCCAGCCTCACTGTCCTCCTTGCTGTTCAAACCTTTGCTCTATTCCCTCTGCCTGGAATGCTCTTCCCCCGATGTTCCCTGGCTGCCTATTCCCATCACCCTGTTTAATACTGCACCCCACCCCCACTCTACTTTTTTAAAACAATTCCCATGGAATTTAACATCTGCTGATACATATTGTACTATTTCTTATTGTTTATCACCACCACATCTCCCCTTCCCGCACTGTGTGGACAGGGATCTTTGTTACGTTCACTGATGTATTCTGAGACCCCGGACTGGTGCCTGAGACACACTAGATACTCAATAAATATCTGCTGAATAAAGGAATGAACTGTAAGGCTTAGGAATTAGGTGCTCACTAAACCCTCAAGTACCACTGTTATCAAGTGAACAAGTTATAAGCCCAAGCTTGGAATCTATTTTGTGTCCAAAAGGAAAGTGGCTCGCTTCAAGCTGGCATTAGGAAGACTAATGTCAAAAGTGTTTTGGACTGACTGCGAGGTGTACGTGGATGGAGGGCGGGTGTGGGCCTGTTGGAGGGGCGGGAAGCTGGGAGCGAAATACAAGTTAGTTCTTCTCAAACCATCCCAGGTCTCCTCCCCCGCTTTTATAAGTCTTATCTGCAGGGAACACGTTTATTCAACATACTCTGTGCCTGGAGCCGGGTATACAGGAGGCGGTCATGTCCCAGTTCCCTGGCGAACTCCTACTAATCCTTCAATACCCCGCGGTACCCTCTGCCAGTACAGGCTCAAATAACACGCCACGGCCTCAGGAAACCTCAGGTCAGTGGAGTCGGCAGGAAGGCTTCCCAGAAAATTAACTTGACCTAGATCCGTGTAACAGTTTCCCCAGCAGGGAAGCAGGTCTAAGGTCCCCAGGCAATGGGTACAGCGAGAAAGAAGGCGTAGAGAGCCCACCTCATCCCCTCAACATCCCTCCAATGCAAACACACAAAGTCCCCACGCGCACGGACACACAACCAACCGTCCTCCTCTGGGTCCCCACACGGGCCCTTCAAAGGGTCTAGTCCCGGGTACCACTCAGACCCGCCCCCGCCAGTCGAGCGCCCAGCGCAGGAAGAGCCTCTCACCGCCGCCAAAGCGCCGCTCACCCGGCGCTCGGCGCCATGTTGGCCCCGCCTCCTCCAGGAGCAGTTCCTGGCAGAGACCGAGAGCAGGTCACTGCCCCCTTCCACGAGCCGGAATAAGCCTCCTAGGCTCACGGCCTGAAATTATATAAAAATGCTGTCTCTGTGCCTACGTGTAAGGAGCACACCCTCTTGCTGTAATTACTTCAGTTTATTCCTTCACTATCCGGCAGCCAGGACCTTTGGGAGGCGCCACAAAACCAGGCGGGGAAGCCCGCAGCGCCGCGAGGCCCCGCCCCCTTAGAGCCGGCACTGCGCTTGCGCTTCCCATGCCAGGCTGGGTTAAAGTTGCAGCCGACAGCCTTGGGATTTAAAGGGCCCGCTGCCTGACTGAAGTTGGTTTGAAGGCAGGAGGTGGTTGGCTGTGGACGGCACTTGGTCATGGGACCTGTGCGGTTGGGAATGTTGCTTTTCATTTTGACTGTGTCTGGGACGCCGAAGGAGGACGATGGCACAGAACGCTTGCCCAGCAAATGCGAAGGTATCTAAAGGGAGTAGCCCCTATTCGCATCCCTCTGCCCCACCTCCGTCTGGGCCAGACCAAATGGACCGTGATGGGTGGGTCACCTGACCTCCTTCAGGACCTGAGGGAGGTTCTGATGGAGCCTGGTGGAATTCGAATGGGGTCAACGGAGGGAACGCATAGCGCTGCCCCAAAACTATGGCACTACAATTCCCGTGAGACATCCAGAGGGAGCCCGCTTTTTCTTGCTGGTTTGGGCCCCCCAATGGTTTGTGGGAATTGTAGTGCAGAGACTATCGGCCCAGGACCGACCACTTTACTGAGCCTCGTGTGTGTGTGTGTGTGTGTGTGTGTGTGTGTGTGTGTGTGTGTGT